GTGTCGCGCGAGCGAGGCGGGCGTCTGGTAAATGCAGCAGCAACTAGGATCATGGAATTGCTAATTGTGTATTGCGTTATGTCTTCGTGACTGGAGCGCATATATGGAGGTCACTTGCTGCAATCGTGAACATTTGCCAGGAGAGAAGCGAGTGAAAGTGAGAGAAAAGAAAGATGAGGAGGGGAAATTAATAGCAGAAAGGGCGTGATGGGAAGGAGACGAGGTTTTGATGGGGGGGAGACAGAGATAGATGCTCAAGAGACGAAGAGGAGAGAGCGGGTATGAGATGAGTAAGAATATATGTTAAAAATAAATAATTAATAATGAAATATTTATTATGTTAGTATAGAGCGAGTGATAGTTAGGAAAGGATGAGACGACCGCGGGAGAGAGAGAGAGAGAGAGAGAAGAGAGAGAGGAGACGAGAGCGACGGAGAGGCCGGAGCATAGAGACGAGAGCGATCGAAGGATGGAAGGATGGGAAGAGAGAAGGGGAGAGAGCAGGCAGTGAGATAGCGCGTGTGGATAGAGAGAGTGGAGGCAGGACTGAGGGAGATAGCAGCGAGGAGTGGAGAGAAGTTAGGAGAGGACGAGGGACTCACGCAGCGTGGCTGTATATGTTAGTCGGTACATGCACGCCGACGTCTGGTTGCCATTTCCAGTGACATGATGGGCGGGGGGGGGGGGGGGGGGGGGGGGGGGGGGGGGGGGGGGGGGGGGGGGGGGGGGCGGGGGGGGGGGGGGGGGGAGGGGGGGGGGGGGGGGGCCGGGGGGGGGGGGGGGGGGGGGGGGGGCGGGGGGGGGGGGGGGGGGGGGGGGGGGGGGGGGGGGGGGGGGGGGGGGGGGGGGGGGGGGTATTTTCGGCCTGCTTGCTTCATTGCATGAACTAGTTCGCAGTCGCGGACCATTAAATTAGCAAAGTCACTGTCATGTTTTTGTTCACAGCGTAGCGAACGTTTACGGTTGTAGTCACGCACGCGATGACGCACACATACACACGCACCACGTGCACAGGCACGAATAAGAACACGGAACACGACGCGCGCTCGTTAGGTGTGTGTTCAGACAGTCTTTGTTGCGCACGTTTTCCGCTCGCTTTCTATCTCCCCACTATCCCTCCTCCAAAATCTCTCTCTGCTTCTTCTTTCTCTCTCTACTCTCTCTTCTCTCTTCTCTCTCTCTCTCTCTCTCTCTCTCTCCCTCTTCCTCTTTCTTATCACTTTCTCTCCCTTCCGTGCGCGCTTTCTCTCTCTCTCTCTCTCCCTCTTCCACTTTCCATCTCACATTCTCTCCCCTCCCGCGCGCTCTCTCTCTCTTTCTCTCTCCCTCTTTCCATCTCACTTTCTCTCCCCTCCCGCTCTCTCTCTCTCTCTCTCTCTCTCTCTCTCTCTCACTCTCACTCTCTGGTTCACTTCTTTCCGTATCTCATGTTATCATAACACGCACGAAGCGACTTCTGCACGCAGCGTAAACGCCGGGGCTGTAATTAATTGGTCTTCGCGCAGTCACGGATTTGCGAGCCTAGAGATGAGGACGCTGCTGCTGCCGCCACTACTCAGACGCTGATGAGTTGCGTCACGCTGCAATTACTGCGGGTGCACGGGGAGCGCTGGTAGTGCTAATAACAGCCACGCGAACACTATATTATGTTTGCTAGGGGGCGGGCGGATCGTGCCTTCTTTATCGCCGACTGACTGTTATGCTAGCCGGGTATCCGCCTCCTGTATTATAATATTCGCGAAAAGATGATAAACAAGGTTAGCAGCAGAGTGGAGTCTCACGAGAAGGAGGAGGATGCGTTGAATAAAGAAAGTCTGATATGTGTGAATGTACGCCGCCTATAGCTATGTGGTGTTATCACGAATCTAATTTGATTATACATAACGCGATACTCTCTATACATACAATAATGTAATACTATACTATAATGAGAATAGCTGGATACATACTTACATAGATTCATCAGATCGCACATAGATAATAGATATACATGCATGCGTGAGTGCGTCGTACGCACGCACGCACACATATACATAATGCATACACATCTGATACACATAATACATGGGTTCGTGATACTTACTATACGCAGGACCGTGATATCATAAATAGTTCGCTAGAATGAACCTTTCAGCGCCGTCTATTCTAGGAATGCATACAAGTGGCATACTGCAAGAGTTTATTTGCGGAATGCTTCCAGGCTACGAACTTGCGTGCGGCCGCACGCGCACGTGACGTCTATAGCGTCTCTGTGAGCGTCACTGATGTTCGTGCGCATATGCATGACGTCCATAAACATTACATGCGTGTTGTCGCTCTCCCATCCCCACCGACTACCTGCGCCCTCTCCTATTGCTCAATTCCATATCTCACAATTATCCCTCGTTGCACAGCGACAGTGCTACCCGTTGAATGTCCCTATACCGGTGAGTTTATTTTCTTAAATAACTGCAGCAAAGCAAAGCCCGCAGCACCCACACGCTCGCCAGTTAATATAGAAGATAACAGTAACAGTAAATGCATCTATTGTTGAATGGGTTGTTCGCGTGTAAAAATTCAGACGTACTTGATTGCAGTATAAACTGTATTACGCGATAATAGGATGTAGACATCTGAGCCAAAGATTTGGTAATGTACGATTACATTCGCGCGTTGTCATTTTAAGAAAACGCATGAGCATGACTCATCATCTGGCACAATACATTTAATTTCTTGCTAACCTTTTTAATTTCTTGCTAAGCTGGCTCCTCAGGAACGGCGATTGTACCGGTATCTAATCTGAGCGTTTCCTGAGTAATGCCTCATCACCGTGCGTCATACGTTTCGTTCATTTGATTCCTGGCTTTATTACAATATGATTACATTTGACTGCATGCTGACACGCTTGACTACAGGTATAAATATATATTATACAGTGTTTCCTCTGGCCAAAAAGGTCTGTGAGGTGGTAATTTTTTTTTGGCGTGTTTGTGCGTTTCGAGGTCCTAGCAAAGCAGGCACCGCAGGTGCTCGCCCAGCTAGGGGGGTCCGGGGGCATGCCCCCCCCCCAGAAAACCTTTGAAAAAATGGTGCAATTTGGTGCATTCTAAGCTATTTTGGTGCATTGTAAGCACTGTTTTATGGCAGAACAGTGATTTTCATCAGCGAGGTGGTGTTTTGGACAAATTTCTGTGTGGCAGCTTAGAATTTGAGCGAGGCGACCCGCCTCACTCGTGTAAATGCAGGGGAAACACTGTTATATATATATATATACGAATTATATACATACACACATGGGCATGCACGCACGCACGCACAAATACATAGGTGTCTATATATAAGTACGTGTTCACATCTACTGCAGACTCGAGTACAGAGACGTACACGGACTCAGCCGGCGTAGATCTCGAGGAGTTCTTTATGATGACACTTCACAGGAACCTCAGCGATCGCCGCATGCTCATCAAGCTGGAGGAACAAATGAGTGGCCTCGTAAAGGACAGCAAGTAAGCTCATATCCACCCGCACTACCATCTTACCATGATTCCCATACTATTACCTTACCAATACCCTACCCTATACCCCTAAACACCCACACCCACGCATTCGCACACACCCACACCCACGCATTCCCACACACCCATACCTGCACTTACATGCACACGCACGCATGCATACACGCACGCACATATTTACCCGCCCACCTGCTGGCACCCACCCTGTGAGCTGCACGCACACCCACCCGCACGCGCACTCACACACGCATGCCCATATCATTACAGGATTGACCAGGTGAAGGACAACAAGTATGCTTATACCCACCCACTCTAGCGTCCTCCATGCACACACCTACCTACACGTTATTACATGGTCATCGAATGTCAAGCTTACCCACCACTCCACACACACGCATCATTAATTGATGCAGTCGTCTTACGTGATAGCTCTTCGTGGCTCTATCAATTCTCCTACACGAATTTCCTATAAGAGGTCAAATCCGACAGCATAGAGAGAAGGACTGGGACACATGACAGCATGCCAACAGGACTGCAAACTCAATTTTTGAAATTCTCATGGCGTAAATAATCAGCATCAGATAATCAGCCCCATTCCAATAACTTATTCGAAAATTCTTCAAACCGTTTTGACAAAAAAATCTCAAGAAAGACATCTTTAAGAAAACCCCTTCGAAACCTCTCGGTAGATTTACGATCTGTCTGAACTAACAGCTACTCTATTTTTACGCAGCCAGACTCACAATCCCAGATCAAGACCACGTGAACTAAACAGTTAACGGTGCTCTCGCCTAGATATAGAACCCTAGCTGCGTTCTCTCCGTCGACGATATATGTCTGCTGTAACTTTCCCCGTTTTGACAGACGTTAGCTTTTACTGGCGATTAACATCGTGTTAAGGCTCGTGCGCGGGATCATCGCGTCACGGAGCGAGAACGCACGACTGCAATCCGATTACTGGCACTCGCCCCGCGTATTCATCCGCTCTCACCGCTGCTCGAAATTACCACGTCGCTCAGCGCTCGGCCCGTGCACGCACCGCGTTATTAGGCCAATCGCGCAGTGTTTCCATAATAACATATGACCGCTCGCAGGGTTTCTGTGGCGATCATTAGCCTGTGTAAGTTTCAATGGTTCAGCGGTGCGGCATTGCAGTGCCAGCACACTTCTAGAAGGCACCGTACTGCTGATTACTTTAATATTGGTTATAATTGATATGACCTTTGACCTATGACGGCACCAACACGTCGTTTGACCCATGTGCTGTTCAGAAATCACACGTAACTTCATGCTCTTGTGGTCTCACTGCAGTGATCGTTGTGATCGTGACATGTCCTGTAACCTGTGAGGTGTGTGAATAGTGAGCTGTGACTATATGACAAGTGCTACTGATATACCCTTTAGCCCACGAACTGCACATGTCATGACCTTTGACCTTTACAGTGGCGATGAAATGCCATTTAACCCAAAAAGTGCACGCACCATGAGTTAACATTGAGCACGCACCATGACCACGCACCATGAGTTTTAAACTATTGTGCTAATGCCAGAGTTGTGATTTTTCAGTTTTTTGGTGAAATTCTGCTTTTTTAACAGCTCACGAACAGGTCGATTTTTTGAAACATCGTACGAGTTTGTAATAATAATTTTGCAATTTTTTCAGCTAATAAGATAAATATTGCAGATCGAATTAATGTTCATTCTAGACTGTGGGACTATAATTATTAGCAAGAAAATTGTGATTTCAAAGTTAATTCTAGATGCCAGGAAATGGCTCAGATTGCAGGGAAATGCTTCCTTACCCCTAGACCTTCCTCTCCCAGGCCCCTGGCAGTCGCTTAGCCAGCCACCAGACCCCCGCACTGTGGTTTAAGTTTTTTTCAAACCCCAGTAATGCGCCCTCTTGCGTGCGTGTGGCACACTCTATCACCTTTGCGGTGTTGCTGACGTGAGCTTTAATCGTTGCAGACGTCACATGATGAAATTCAACCCGATGAGCTCCTATCACCGCATGCTTGTGCATCGCGTCGCAGCCTTCTTCGGTCTGGAGCACAACATCGACTCTACGGGCAGCTGTGTGATCGTCAACAAGTCGAAGAACACGCGAATGTGAGTCGGTGAAAAATGTCGACCCTCGTGGTCATCCCAATGACTGCATTCCCATGGTCGTCCACCCCAATATCCACTCTAGTGTCCACCCTGTGTCCACCCCAGGTGGTGTTCACCCCCAATGCCTACCCTTGTGTCCTCTACAGTGTCCACCTCTCTGTCTAATTTAATGCCCACCCTAGTTTTCACTTCATGGAGATCTTCAATATAGACCCCAAACCTGAGTGACCATTTCATTGACCACTCCAATGACCTGCTATTTGGGTAGAGGTGGGGGTGGGGGTGACCACCTGCCACTTCTCTAGTTATCTGGGTGCTACCTGTCATACTTACTTATCAAGCAGGGGAGGGGTAAGGGAAGGGAAGTATAACGTCTCGTGTCCATGTAAGAAGTAGTCTGCGCAATGGAAAACATTGAAATAACTTCATCATACAATTTAATTATGCAGATGTGATTGAGGGGCGCGGTTTCCCACTGCAGGAAAACGTCTCGTAATGCGAGAGAACGATTTCGAAGAAGTATTGCAACGCACGCGTGTAAATTTCCCGCAAAACCAGATTATTGAAAAATTTATTTCTGCGCGCTCTTGCGGAAAGGCGCGTTGTGTGTACTTCGTATATCGGCGGTTATTCCATTATCAATAATGAGACACTTCTAATAATGTAATCTATTACCGTGGACTGTCAGCTTTCATCGTCTTTGCTACAGCCATCAAAACCCGTTTATCGCCGTAGCCGCTGTCATCATTATAATAATAATGGATATGCATGCATTATTATTATTCTTTTTATTCTTCTTCTTCTTTATCTTCTTCCTCTTCCTCTTCTTCATTTTCTTTTTTTACTTAGGAAAAAGGGGGGTCTTTTGCCAGGGATATGTTTTCAAGCCCCCGAGTCAAAACACTTGAAGTAGGAACAGATTGAACTATAAAATGCTGAAGTTCTCCCCTGCGCGCCCTGTGATCGCGACTACAGTCAGCTGACTGTGCAAGCAAGGTTTCAATCGTGTGCGCTCGTCTGATATTCTACCACGGAAATCTTACCGACGACGCGTGGTTGAGAGCGGAGAGCGAGAGAGAGGGGTGGAGGGCGTGCGCGAGAGAGAGAGGGGGGCGTGCGCGAGAGAGAGAGGGGCGTGCGCGAGAGAGAAAGATGGAGGGAGCGAGAAGAGGGATGAGCGATAGTCTTATTAGCTGGTATTGTTGGTCGTTGCGTTACAGCGACACAGGGTGGGCGTAATAATGTTGTTTAGTGGATAGCAAAACGCGCAGGGGATCGAAAATAACTCGTTTGATCGAACTACTTCTGTTGATCTCTCTCTTTCTTTCTCTCTCCTTCTCTCTCATACACACACCCACACACTATCTCTCTCACTCACTCACTCACTCACTCTCTCTCTCTCTCTCTCTCTCTCTCTCTCTCTCTCTCTCTCTCTCTCGCTCGCTCGCTAATTGGCTGCTATTGTAGCGTCACGCGTCCTGACTCGACGTACGCGGCTATGTTTGCATCGCCATGGCAACGCTAATCGGCTCGTTGCTCTGCAATCGCCACTCACGTGGCATCGTGACTGGAGCCCCAAAGAAGACAGTTGGTTGATCGGCACCTCCTCCTAGCAACCACACCTTCCTAACGCACAAAGGAATAATTACTGCCTCTGTTTATTTCGAGTTAATGCAGATGGTGCATTATGGGAAGTCTTTGCCGGAGGAAAATGTTCCAAAAAGAGTTCTTATGGGCTTGTTGGCTCGCGCCGTAGAAGAGACAGCGCTAGAGCGAGAGATAAAGAAATAGATAGCGAAAGAGAGAGAGAGGGGACGGGAGGGCGAATTGAAATGCATTTCTGTGCGCGGTCGTACATAAAAAGTGGAGAGCCTACATACAAGAAGCGATGGCAGTCGGACAACGGGTCTGCTGAAGAGGGTATCGAAAGTACCTCACGAAAGTCTCCTACGCGAAGCTAGTGTGCGCGCATTCTTGCAGGGCGTTTTTACGTTGCTATTTACAGTCGGCATGTATGCGATCCTCCTATGCGATGACGTTATACTAGTCTTGGCTTCCCGCGCCATAATAATAACACTGTATAACATACAACAGCGGTAAAGAAACCCGATAAGGATTAAGGTATATGCGTACATGCATGTAGGATCAACTTGCCTCTCACTACTTGGAACAATGTTGTTTTATAATCTCGTCTACCATGATCCCGGGATGAACATACACGAGTGTAAATATATCGTGCTTTTGTGCGAGGGGCGTTAGCTTCGTGCTGTAACCGGGAAAGGTATTTTCGGCACATGGTTTTCAGAATGGCGCGTATGGGCGTGTGCTGGGTGCGGTTGATACAAGCATTTGTTTGTTGTTAACGTGTGTTCGTGAGTGGATGGATATTTGTCGGCGGTGACTATTTGCGTCTGCAAATGTATCGGGCTTTACTGCGACTAATCCTAATGGAGCTCTGTGTTTACGACGTGGTTTTCTTCTAGAGCGTTTACGTATAGTGACGCACGCGTTTGATCCACGATGATCCACGCGTCGTTTTCGCAAGGTCGAAACGCGGGCATGATATATCCTCACTACAGATCCACATGTTTGCTGCTATTGCTGCTGTTAGTGTTGTTGTTGTTGTTGTTGTTGTTGTTGTTGTTGTTGTTGTTGTT